AAGCGTTCTTAAGAGAAGAAGTAGAGGGTCAGCGAAAGAGAGGAAGACCCTCAACAAGGTGTATTGACACAGTGGCTGCGGTGATGGGCTCAAGCATAGCCAACGGTTGTGAGGATGGCGCAGGACTGGGCAGTGTTTTGTTCGGTTGTACAGGGGGTAGCTATGAGTTGGAACCGACTCTATAGCTCCTAACAACATCAGAGAAAAAAAACCCAGTTCCTTACCAGACATACACAGTCATACTCCTGCTTGGTGATACAGGCCGCAGAGCCCACAGAGGTCATGGCTTGAGTGTTTGGTGGCCCAGCTGAGGGGACAGGCCAAGAACATCCACCTTGACTTCCAGTTCTGCCCAGCTCAGGACTCTCTGGGATAAGCCCTGTTCCTTCTCCATGCCTGTGGGAAATGAGGCCCAAACCCTAGTGACGGGGTCCTTCAGTGAGGGGCTGTGGTTGTGACCCTCCTTTCTGAGTCCAAGGCCCTGCTGTAGAGTCCAGAAAGGCCGTTTTCCCAAACCAGCAAGTGCTGGGCCCCAGAGCTGATGAGGAGGCTGTATGTGTTGAGCGTCTTTCTGACAGGCAGTGGGAAGAGTACACACACGTTTACTGAGCAGGCCATCAGCACCCTTCCATTCAGGGTGCCACGGAGTACAGCAGGTTCTCGTGCCCCAACACCAGCAGCAAGGCCTGAACGAGCCTCCAGCTTCAGCCTCGAGGTCTGGAGAGTAAAGCTGAGTGCGAGCCTGTCTCCTAGGTGAGGGGAATCCCTCAGCTCTGATTTTCTGCTTTCTTCTCTTCTTTCCCCTCCAACCTGAGCATAAGAGATGAGAATGGTCCTCTAGGACAGGGGTCAGCAGACTATGCCCAAGTGTTTTTGTAAATAAAATTTAATGGAACACAGCCACGCCTGTGTGTTTGCGTATTGTCTGTGGCTACTTTCACGTGACAATGGCAGGGCTAAGTGGTGGCGACAGACAGTATGTCCCACAAAGCCTAAAATATTTACTGTCTGGTCCTTTACAGCAAGAATTGGCCAAACTCTGCTGTCGGAGGCTGGTGGTGGCCACTTTGTCCTTTTATAGGCATTCTTGCCCACCCAGACGTCGACAGGGTGACACAGGGCAATAGAGCATTTGGAGGCTTTGCCAGGCTGGAATGTCACACAGCCATCTAGCATCTTCGTTCTGCTCCCCAGAGAAGCTTCCAAGGGGGCTGGAGCACCCCAGGGGGGAGCCAAGTTAGATCCTGGGTAACCCCCTCCAACTCCCCACCTGCAGCACACACCCAGTACTGCAGCAGCTCACTCCCAGTACTGCAGCAACTCACACCCAGTACTTCAGCACAACACACACCCAGTACTACAGCAACACACACCCAGTACTGCAGCAGTAGGGATAAACTGCCCTGATGCCCATAGCTGTGCAATGCTGTCTTAGTTTCTGTTCAGTGTTAACACAGTCACAGAGACCCATGACTTATCCCCAATGTGACATTTGGCTGATTCCGGGGTTCTGTTGGCATAGAAGAATGCCAGGCTAACTTCTGGGGTGGCAAACTGCTGTCCTCACTGCTTCTCTCCCACCCCGGTATCACTTTCTGAGTAATACATTCAGAGCTGAGGCCAGACACATCCGCCAGATCTAATTTAAACTTCTGTGTGTCTCCCAGAGAGGCGTCTCTTGAAGACAAAAGCATTCTTTATCAGGGCCCCATCCCCTCTGGGGATGGGACATTGTTTTCCCAGCAGTTTAGAGCCAGTGTGTTATCCAGATGGCTCTACCTCCCATCTGAAACAAGGTGTACTTGCACTTCAGAGGCAGTCATTACCTACTGCCTTGTTTTTATTGCTGTCTTGTTTTGTCTAGACCAAGCCAATGGCTGCAAGGGATCTGGCTGAAGTGAGCTGGGAGCATATTCCGTAGCTCTGCTGTCCACTCAGCAAGTGGGCTGGAGGGCCCGAAAGGGGCTGAGGACCATCCACTTACTCCCTAAGGGATTTTAGTCTCCAAGTGTTGCTTCAGATTTTTTGCTGGCTTCCTCAAACTTAAACAGGGAGCAATTTTGTTGGTTTGAATAGAGAGTGAATTTCGTGGGTGCTTTCCTAAGAAGAAAGCTGACAGTCCCCACAGAGGTGGAATCATATCAAACCGTTGTACTGGATGCCTTGGGTGCACTTCAGCCCCAGGCTGGCCTGCTGAGACAGATCCTGACTTGGGAAGAGAAACAGAATAAAAGTGTTGGGTGCGTCCCTAGAGTGGGAAGCTGGCAATTCTACCAGGAGCCACTGCATGCAGAGCACAGAGACACTTATAATGATGATGAGATGATGATGATGGTACCACCTTCCATTTGTTTGAAGCAGGTTCTCAACCCAGGCTGTACGTTAGAATCTCCTTAGGAGCTTTTAAAAAAATATCATCAGTACTCCACTCCAGACCAATTATTTCAGAACTCTAATGGTGAGGCTCGGCTTTGGTGTTTGTTAAAAGCTCCCCAGAATATTCTAATGTGTAGCCAAGGTTGAGAACCACTGGTGTATGCTTCGCAGTCTGTGATTACCTCTTCTTGTAGCTACTTATTTAATCCTCGTGACAGTGCAGTGGGTTTGGTGCTAGTATATTCCCCTTTATAGACAGGGAAACTGAGTCCTCAGTGATTTGCCAAGGGCAGAGCACTTAGTGGCTGAGGTAGCCCTCAAACCCAGGACACCCATCAAGTGTAGTGCTGCGCTCCTCCCCTGCCCCTCCCGTTCAGCAGTCGAAGAGAAAAATATCTTCTGGGACTTGGTGCTTCTGCACGTACTCATCCATGCCCATGTGTTCCCACATACTCTGCCTCCTCACAGCCCAGCCCCGGTGTCTTTTCTTTTCTCTTTGAAGACCATTTCCCACTTGGGTCCTTCCTTGTCCACTACACCCTTCCCTCCTTCACACACACACACACACACAGACACACAGACACACACACAAACACACACGCACACACACACCTTTTCAGTCAGTTCCTGATAAAGCTCAGTCGCCTTTGCCTTCAGAGGTCCAAGGTTAGAATCTATTGCACTGGTTAGCATTCCTCACAGAAACCCAGAATCCACTGCACTGGGCAGCTCTCCTCATGGAATCCCAGAATCCATTGCACTGGGCAGCTCTCCTCATGGAATCCCAGGAGCCATTGTGCTGGGTAGCTCTCTTCGCTGAATGCCCTTGGCCTGGGGCCCTGGGTGGTCTGCAAGGTGAAGCAGCCACATTCCACCACCCAGACTGATGGTAGGCAGGTGGCAGTGCAGTGAGTGAGGGAGGGTCCCTAGCTCCCTCAATTAGAGTAAGGTACCCTAAGCATCACTTTACTTACACAGTAGGAACCCAGGTGCCCCCAGGGGCAAAGAGAGTGGTGGTGGCAGCTGCCATTGCTGTTGATTCTTCTAATCCTGATTGGTCTGATTGGCTCGAATGGGTGAGGGGATGCTATAATTGGGCCCAGGGAGGTCCTATGATAATAATAATGGGATTTCATTTGGGGCCAAACAGACCTATGTGGCCTCCTTGGTGAGAGAGAAGGTCTGCAGGGACCCATGGCAGGACTGACCAGATGGACCTGGGTCTGGATTTTCAGGAAGAAGGAAGCAGTGCTAAAGCAGCTTGTGTGGCACCTTGTTTAAGAGCTCTAGCTTCATTGTCAGGTTGAACTGGGCTTGAACACTGACCCCAGTGCTTGTTAGCAATGTGGCCTTGAATAAGTTACTTAATCTCTCTAAGCCTAAATTTCTGCCTCTAAATCGAAGATGATAGTTCTTTCCTCAGAGGGAGAATTAATGAGAGATAATCTATGTAAAACACTAACATGGTGCCTGTCATTTAGTCACTAAGTGCTAGCTATTGTTGGTGTCATTTAACCCACTAGGTTAGGGAAGAAAGTGTTTGGATAACCTTTTTGTGGAAACAGGAATCATCTGAGGATGAGAGTTCACCTGGGTTCCATTAGGCGGCCCTTCCCCTGAGAAGCTAGAAGTGGGGGATGCTTCTCTTCTTACTCCTTCTCCCATTTTCCAGTAGTTGCCTTGAAGAAAAGTCAACCCAACTGTTGAGGAGCATGGCCCATTTTAGTTTTTGTACTCTGTCATCATCTTATATTTTAAATAGAATGTCTCCTGCAGCAAGTCCCAGGGAGCTGTGCAGCATGGTCTGGGCATAAATTGAGACAGGGAGAAAGCTCTGAGGTAGCGACACCAGAGTCTCCCACACCAGAGTCTCCCACAGACGCATCTGCGAACACAGATAGCTAGATATGGAGATAGGTAGAGAGACCCAGTGCCTACCCCAGGCAAGATGGGGGTGGGGGAAGAGGAAGAGGGACAAGGACAGCAAGAGGAAGTCTGGCCACAAGTGCCACCACTTTTCAGTCTCATGAGTTGAAGGATACTTTTTCAGGGACCTGGTGTCACCCTCATGGGGTCACAGTCCTGTCTTGAAACTGGAAAGTGACAAATGCAGGCACAAAAGCTTCCTGGTGATCTTCGTTGCTCAGAGCCACTGGTGTGTGAGTCTCCTCAAGAGGCCCTGAGCTGGTCCACTGGGGAGTAATTGGCAGGTGACTCAGAGGCTCCGAGGGGTGCAGGTGGGACACCTGCCTCCTGCACATGTAGGCATAGCTAGCCTGGAGGGCTGCAGAGAGGGCTTGCTGAGTGCCACTGGATAGGAGCTGCATCTGTCTTGGAGGTTGTTTGGGATGTGACAGCATCTTCCTGTGTGCCCCTTTGGGGTGGAGCTCCCGGGACCCCAGTCAGGGAGCAGAGCTGAATGAGGCCCCAGGAACATGAAGTTTGCCCTGTGTCTTGGATATGCAGGACTTGCCCGGGACTTGTTCTGGAAAGCCCACCTGGTGTCCTGACCTTGCTTTCCAAGCACTGATCCTGCTTTCTCTGCTGGTTTTCACCTCTTGGATCTACTTGTCCCGTTCTACTCAGTGTTTATCAGCTCAATTGTGTTTTTCTCCTCATTTCAGAAATTCCGGGTAGATATGCCTGGTTCAGGCAGTGCCTTCATCCCCACGATCAACGCCATCACGACCAGCCAGGACCTGCAGTGGATGGTGCAGCCCACAGTGATCACCTCCATGTCTAACCCCTACCCCCGCTCACACCCCTACAGCCCTCTGCCGGGCCTGGCTTCCGTCCCCGGACACATGGCTCTCCCAAGACCTGGCGTGATCAAGACCATTGGCACCACGGTGGGCCGCAGGAGGAGAGACGAGCAGGTACAGCTGAGACCAGTGAGGATGGACCGCACCGGGGCTGTCAGGCGCTTCACATGCAATGTTGTCTGCAGACTGGTGGGAACAGGTTAACGTTCTGGGGGGACTAGGGAGAGGGGAGCCAGAGGACACATTGTCCTCATCATTGGAGGCAGAGCTGGAGGCCTAGCTCTGTCATCTCACCCGTGTTTCTTAGAATCTCTGAGACTCAGTTTCCTCCTTTGTAAAAGAGCAGTAATAGCACCTGCCAGGCAGACTTGTTGCTGTTCAAATGAGACTGTGTGTGTGAAAGCATGTTTAAGTTGTCAGATGTCAACACATGGGAAGGACTGTTATAACCTGTCTGCAGCAGTGGCCTTTGGGACCTGGGTCAAGTAGCCATGGAGCCCTGGCTGTAGACTTGTTTGATTCACCCTTAGCTTCTCCCAGTATCCAGTGCAGGCAGACACCCAGCCGACCCAAAGGGTCAGACTCTAAGCCGGTGCTGCCCAAATTACTTTCCCTTCCTCCTCAGCGTCCCAAACTCCATCTTATAGCAGGAGCTGGTTTCTGGTGCTTGGATTGCACATTCTAGAAGTACAGTGACTCTGGACTCTTAGGAGTCTGGTCACCTGCTTTAGCTGATGGGATGAGGGTGGCCTTTTTTCCCCCAAGGGGCTTAGCTTTGAGAGGGAGTCGGCCTGGCTGGGAGGGAAGCCAGGACATGGGGTGGGGGGGCTCTGCATTTAGGCAGCGTCTCCCCAGCACTCAGAAGGCCCACTGGCAGTATCAGCAGTTAGTCAGGGTAGCGATGAGCCCCCAGTCCCAGAAAGAGAGATCACAATCACGCATAATTCTAGCAAGAAGGCAACATGGTTTTCAGAGAGCCGCTCCGTCCCTTCAAAAATGGTACAGTCAAGGCCGAGACACACCTGCCAGGGTCACTTACCAGTGAGTAGGAGAACTACTCAGTGACAGCATTGGAACTCCTTCCCGTTTTAGCGCCTGTCCACCTTCACTCTGGGATCCCCTGGGTCCACAGTGTTCCAATAGGTGACCATGTGTTCCCCACTGGGCAGTCATGGATCCAGTGCTGTTTGTTTTCAGGATACTTAGAGTCACCTGTATCATTGCTCCAAGGAATGGGATGCTTTCTCAGGAGTCGTACTCCTCTGAGGACAAAGCTGGGCCTGTGTCCACCCCCTGTTGGTTTGTTCTGCTAATGCTGGGCCCACAGTGCAGGGACAGGGGGAGATGTGTGTAACAGGTACTGTGGGAGATACAGCTCACAGTCATGTCTTGGCCTCTGTTGCCTGGCCAAGTGGCTGATATCCACCTCACTGTTGCTTTCTGTAACTGCAGTTATAAATACTGCAGTAGTAGTGATCAGAATGTCATTTACAAATGTGCTTCCTCCAGGGAGTCCAAAGTACAAAGCTGATTAGTCACTGATGAGCTGGATTCTCCCAGGATGTAAGTGACCTCTGAGTGAGAGCCAGGTCTTTGAGGGACTCTTTTGGGCTAGAGGACAACAAAGCAAGATCTGTTCAACATGCTTCACTATCTTCTGGGCCAACTCACACCAAATTTAAACGCTTATATCTGGAAGGGACTTTGGAGACATCTTTTCTAATTTTCCCTCTGCACCCATTTTACAGATGAGGAGACTGAGGCCAGAAAGGAGAAGTGCCCTGTGCAGGGCCACATAGTAAGTTGATAGCAGAGCCAGGCCTGGAATCCACCTCCTTTGACCCTCAGCTCTGTGGGTTTCCCGCCACTTCACCTGGGCGTGCCTTAAGACAATCTGTCTGGAGAATTTCCTTCCTTTTTTTGAGACAGAGGGAGAAAGCACAGAGCATTTTGTCCCACCCCACATCAGTTAGTTCAGATGATCATCTGATAGCTTTGAGGAAGCCTGGGCATAGCAGCCTAGAGCTTTGGCTATTTGGGATCTTTACTCTGGAGCCTACTTCTGCACCCCACACCCTCGCGTGGGGGAGGAGCCTTTTATGGGGAGCCAGCCTGGTGCCGTAACTGCCCTCCTGAGCCTGCCAGGAGGCTCCCTCTGAGGCCAGTAGTGGTGGCTGAGGAGGCAGGGAGGGGAGGGTGAGTGTGGCTTGTGGGTGTGTACCTGGCGTGCTGACACACTCAGGCCGTAGCCGTGTTGATCTCACCGCCCCTGAACACTTCCTATGTTGACAGCTCCACAAACTGCCCCACACCTTATCAGATGGCAGTGGGGTAGGGGGAAGGAAAGGCTTTGAGGCTAACTAGGAGGCCAAGGGGGAAGGGAGGCTGAAGTGGATCAAGACCTGCCCTCCCTCTTTTCTGCCCTCACACTGAGACCTGGGGGGCTTGCTGGGGCTCAGGGAGCCCTGGTGGCCCTTTCAGTGGTGAGCCCTGAACCCAGGACTGCAGCAGGGGCATAAGGCTCTCTTGGTAACTCTGTTGGGCACAGGTTCAGACAAATTTAAGAGCAGCAAGTATTCATGGCCTTTGCCAAGTGGCCTCATGACCTCAGCTGGGCAGCCTGCCCCTGCACGGAGCATAGTGCATGAGTCTGTAGACTGCGGGTCTCAAGTCTATTTAGATACTTGCAGGACTCAGACCATCAGAGAGGAAATCTCTTGTCTTTCTAGCACTTTATAGCATCTTCTTTCTTTTTAGCACTTTCTAGATTAGGGAGAGCTTCCACACTGTGTCTCATTTGAGCATAACAGAAACTTTATGTGAAAGTTAGGGCAGATATCATGAATCCCATTTTACACACGGGAAATCCCAGGCTCAGGAAGGTTAAGTGACTTGTCCGTGGCCACACGAAATGACATATGTGTGGTTTGCGCCCATTCTGTGTGATCTCTTTCCTTTCTACTTCGATACCTCTCAGAGAATGTGGAGCCTTTGGCCCTCCCAGGGAGATGGAGGGTTTCAGAGCCCTGGACTGAGGACGGGTCCTTGAGAGGGAAGTGGAGCTGGGACTTGGATGCGGGACTCTTAAGACCAGTGCCCTTGGAAAGCTCTTTGGAAGGGACCTGAAGGCTAGCAGGGATGTTAGCAGCTGAGTGGCCTTGTCTTATCTCACCTGGAGGCCTCTGTAGGGGGTTGAGTGACACAGTGAGGTAGGAGACAGTGAGGGAGAGGGCAGCTAGGCCTGCTTCTTCACAGTGAGGTGAGGGAGGCAGAGGAGGGCAAAGTGTGGTAAGAACCATCTTGGGGTGGAGAAGATCCAGGGGCCAACACAGATGGGTGGAGACACAGCTCAGCCGAAGCCCTGGGAGGCAGGACCTGTGGTACCGGGAGGCTGTGGATGTCTGTTCAGCCTGTCAGGCTGCCTGCTTCCCTCTGGGCCATGCTCCGGGGCTGTTGAGGATTTTATGGAGGAGGGTGTGATGAGCTTCTCTGTGCTCAGCTGGCCTGAGGCTGGCACATTTTCCTGAGAATTAGGTGCAGGGGCTCTTGCACCCTGGGGCCATGGGATCACCTCAGTGTAAACAGGCATGGGGCTGTCCTCTCTGACACTGGACCCTGCTTTGCTGTTCAGGACATCACAGGGACAGACCTCCAGGGCTGCAGGGAGAGTCCTGGGGACTCTGGCCTGGCCAGCCAGGAGAGGGGCTTCCTCCCTCCTGGAGGGCTGACAGTTAGAGCAGCTTCCTGCCCCCTCAAAGTGGCCTTGGCTATTTTCCCTGTGTGTTCCTGAGGGCAGGTCCAAGGTCTTATTCTCCTTGGTCCCTTCTAAGGTCCCAGTACTTCACTCAACACATAGTGGGTACACAGTCAATGTCTGATAACTGAATAGGATAGTTCTTCCTTTTGAACTGCTTTCTGCTTTGGCCCACAGCCACCTCCGGCATCCCCTCTGCCGGGGAGGGCACTGGGGTCACAGCTCTGAAAGGGCTGTATGTTGGCACAGCACCAGTCCTTGCCCTCTGGTCTGAGCTGGGGGTGAGCCTGGCAGGTACCTAACCATCATCATTGGAAGGAGCTAGGTTATAAGCTCTTTGCAGGAGAGATCTTTGTTTGGTTCACAGATAAATCCCAAGCCCCTCGAACTGCCTGGCACATAGGAGGCTCTCGTTTGTTGAATGAGTGAATGGGTATGGTGACAGCAGGATTTAATGTGCCTGAGGGTCCTCCTCCTGCACCTCCTGCCCAGCCTAGCACTGTGCCAGGCATCTGGGGGAGTCCTCTGGATGGACTGTGAGCAGTGGGCGCTCCAGGACTGGCAGAGGAAATCAGGAGTGAGGTGACATCCTTTGCCTCCCACTGGCAGTGGAACATTCCCCCTGGCGGTTCTTGCTTGTGAGATGGGGGTTGGGGGGGACATGGGAGACACAGCTCCTTCTCCAGGTGGGGATAATGAGGCTTGCAGAGCAGGCAGAGTGATGGGGAGGAGTGATTAGCCAGGGTTTGGAAGCAGCTGCTTACGTGGGTGGGGCCATTCTGGCTGGCACGAGGAGACTCTTGGGAAAATGCTCCCAGCTCGAGCTTGCTGACCTTGGCGCTGAATCAGGGCTGACATGACATGATGCCATCATGCCTGGGCCGGTCATCCCTGACCCACTGCTGCCCTTTTCTCCCTTAAAACAGGGCCGTCACCCTCTGGGGCAAATTCAGCTCACAGTTCCCTCCCAGGCAGCAAGACAGCTGTGGGCTGCATGTTCTGGGCCCCCAGACCCAGACCACACTCTTCTTGCCCTCCTGCCTTCCCCTCCCCAGTCCCAGGAGAGCTTCTTGCCCTACTTAAAAGACAGTTTTTAAACAAATGCTTGTGAATGCTTTGCCCCAACCTGATTGTGCTCCTCAACCTTGGCCTCTAGCTGTCTCCTGAAGAGGAAGAGAAGCGTCGAATCCGGAGGGAGAGGAACAAGCTGGCCGCTGCCAAGTGCCGGAACCGCCGCCGGGAGCTGACGGAGAAGCTGCAGGCGGTGAGGAGCTCGTGTGGGGCTAGGGCACTTCTGGGTGGGCTGGAGCGAGGGCCTCAGGGCTCCTGGCCCTCCCGCCTCCTTGTTCACTCATACCCTGGATGAGTCAGTGGAGTCAGATATTCCCTCCTGTTAGCACATGGCTTAGCTTGTGCTGACTAAAACGAGAGAGAAGGCGCTGGCCTGTGGCACCAGCCTGACCCAGAGAGAGAAGAACTAGACAGCTTTCTTGGGCCTGGCACCTGTTTACACTCAGTGTCCAAGCCTTCCCTGCTTTCAGATCTGTAGGGATTCCAGGTGAGGGGTGACAGAGGGTGTCGGCATCCCTGGTCCCCAAGAACCAGGGGAGGCCCAGACTTGCCCCCGTCCAGGGCTGCTTCCAAGGTTGCAGCGACCACCATCCTACCTCCAACAGGAGGGCTCCAGCCTGGCTTAAGAGCTGTGGCCTGGGCTCAGGGGAGATCTACCCTCTCAGCTCCTTCATCTCTGCAGAGGTCTGGATGCTCCCTGGTCCTGATGGAGATGGGCCATGTGCCAACCGAGGCTTATTTTCTTGGGGTTTTCTGGTATCCCACATGGCAGGAGGGTTCCCTTGTCTGCTGTGAGCCTGGAGCTGTGACTTTGGTACCTCCATGCCACCCTTGTGAGTCACACTCTCATGCTGCCTAATTGCCCTGACCTGGGGGCCCATGGCCCTGCCCTTCCCTCTTGAGAGCTGGACCTGACCAATGGCACGTAACTCCCGCCAGAGTCTAGCCGAGCAGGAAGGGCTGGGTGCCATGTGGAGGAAGCCCAGAGCCAGGCTGATTCTCCTGGGTGGAATGTTTTCAAAATGAGGAGATGAAGCAGACCGTCAGTGGTCCTTATGAAGACCAGCCAGGATGAGGCTGTGGATGTCACAGAGTGCCTTGCACCTCCCGTCATTTTATTTAATCCTCACAGGTACCACCCGCCTGCTTAAGCTCCCCTTGTCCATCCTGGAACCCTCAACTTGGGTATTGGATGGATGCTGGGTGGATTCTGTAATGCCCCCTGGAGGTGTTGGCACCAGGGCCCATTAGTGATCAGCACTGCACAGGGAACTCTCTCAGCCGTGCCCTCAGGTATACTCCCATGCTCCTTTCCACCAGCCCCAGAATAGCCCCCACTCCTCCCCACCTCCAAGGTCCTCTGCTTTCCTCCCCTCCTCCCAGAAACCTCACACCCTACTCCCCCGCCTCCCCCGCCCAGTCCCAGCCGCCCAGGCCCCTGAGCCACATCCTCCACAGGAAACCTCTCACAAGCTCATGACGTTCATCAGACCCTTGAGACAGATGGAAACTTTTTTTTACTGTGCAATATGGTATACTCTGCTCGGTGAAGCTCTTGCCCCATAGCTCCTCGCTCCTGAACAGGATTCCGTGTTGAGGAAAAAGCGGGGAGGGCTGTTGACGCACACCTTTTCCTCTTCCACACCACTCGCTCCACGTGTCGCCTCTCTGGCTTTGTGTCAAAGAAGGGGGCTGTGGAGCTGGCTGTGGTCCTACCATCCTCGTGCTCTTGCAGGCTGACAGTTTCCTCATCTGTCAAGCAAGGGGGCTGAACTGAATGTTCTTCAAGGATCCTGTTAGTCCTGAAACACAGTCTTCAGATATTGGAGCAAAAAAGGGAAGGGGGCATGTGTGATGATCCAACAAGTATTGACCGAGCACTTATTCCATGCTGGGCACTGTTCTAGGCACTGGGGGCATGGCAGTGTGTATGACCAAGTCTCCACTCTCATGGAGCTTACAGTGTGGTGTTTATGCATCCACAGGGGCTGGCATGGGGCTGAGGAGGTAGCAGAGAGAAGGAGGGGTGGAGCCATAGGCTGTGCTCCCTTCTCCATTCAAATCTTCCTATTAATCACCCCTTAGGGGCACCTGGGGGGCAGTTCTGGGGCTAAGGCAGTAGAGTGCAGCAGAGAGCGGACTCTGGAGCCAGACACTTTGGGGCTGAACTCTAGACTGCCCTGCCTGCTTGCTCTGTGACTTTGGGGCTGAAGTCTAGAATGCCCTGCCTGCTTGCTGTGTGACTGTGGGGCTGAAGTCTAGACTGCCCTGCCTGCTTGCTCTATGACTTTGGGGCTGAAATCTAGACTGCCCTGCCTGCTTGCTCTGTAACTTTGGGCAATATTACCAAACCTCTCAAAACCTCCATTTCCTCATCTGCAAAATGGGGATTGAATAACGCCTATTGATGTGTTTAACACAGTGCCTGGCACTAAGTAAGTGCCCAATCACGGCAACTACAATTGTTATTCACCCCTCTCCAAGCTGACTTTCCTCCTTTCTAAATCCTGAAGCCTGGAAATACAAGGAATCTCTGGCCTCCAGATGACTCAGAACCTGTGGAGTCTGAGGCCAGCTGTGTGAGCCAGCAGCCTTCCCTTCTGTGTCTGGCTTTGAGCTTTCACAAGCAGGTCCCTGGCATGTTGCTTTCTCTCACACTCCCTTTTTCCCCCATAGGAGACAGAGGAGCTGGAGGAGGAGAAGTCGGGCCTGCAGAAGGAGATTGCTGAGCTGCAGAAGGAGAAGGAGAAGCTGGAGTTCATGCTGGTGGCCCATGGACCTGTGTGCAAGATCAGCCCCGAGGAGCGCCGATCCCCCCTGGCCCCTGGGCTGCAGCCCTTGCGCAGTGGGGGTGGTGGAGTGGGTGCTGTGGTGGTGAAGCAGGAGCCCCTGGAAGAGGACAGCCCCTCGTCCTCATCAGCAGGGCTGGACAAGGCCCAGCGCTCTGTCATCAAGCCCATCAGCATCGCAGGGGGCTTCTACGGGGAGGAGCCTCTCCACACTCCCATCGTGGTGACCTCCACACCCGCTATCACTCCAGGCACCTCAAATCTCGTCTTCACCTACCCCAGCGTCCTGGAGCAGGAGTCGCCCGCGTCACCCTCCGAGTCCTGCTCCAAGGCTCATCGCAGAAGCAGTAGCAGTGGGGACCAGTCATCAGACTCCTTGAACTCCCCAACTCTGCTGGCTCTGTAACCAGTGGACCTCTCCTCCCAGCTCTGGAGGGGAGCCTCATCACTGCCTCCTTCCCAGGGACCAGCACCTTCAAGCACTCCAGGGCCATGAGGGCAACGGGAGCCTGCCAGAGAGCTTCCTGGCTCTGGGGAGACCCAGGTGGGATCTGGCGGTAAGGCATTGGAGGACCTTGGAATGATCTCTTAGAAGTCATGGGACCTCCTCCCTCATTCATCTTGCAAGCAAATCCTGTTTCTTGAAAAGCCTCGGAGAACTTGGTTTGGTAAACTGAGACGCCTCTGGCTTCTGAAGAGCCTAAAGCTGGCCTGGACCATTCCTGTCCCTTTGTTACAACATTTTCTCTGGAGTGATGGTGTCCTGCCCCACCCCTACCCAGCATGCTCAGTGCCTTTTGGTTTCACCTTCTTTCTACTGGCCTCTCCTCCCTCCAGTGTCAGTTTCATTCCTTCTTGGTTTTTATCAAATTTGCCATGACATTTCATCTGGGTGGTCTGAATATTAAAACTCTTCATTTCTGGAGATGGGGCAGCAGATGACTCTTCTGCGGGGGCTGGCTTGTCTAGAGGGGACTATCAGTGTGCAATACAGAACCTTCCCTAACCTAACGCTCCCCAGCCCACCACCATCTCCAGAACCACAGCAGGGCTCCCTGAGCGTGCACCGAGATGCTGCCGTCGCGGGGAACTCCGCGGACCCTTCTTCCCCATCCTTGGAGACGGCTCTTGGTGGAGTGGCTTGGCCAGAAGACAGGGTGTGAGTGAGATAGCCAGGGCACGGTTGGGTTTGCCAAATGCTTAATTACCAGGCCAGGAATAGTGCCAACAAAGCTACATGGTGTGCTAGCCAGCTTCCCTTTACCCGGTGTCTTGAGCTGAGAGGGCGTCTCCTGTAATTACTGCCTCGCCATTCTGCCCCTGGACCCTTCTCGCCAGACTGGGCAGATGTCCCTCCTTAGGAGCCACGTGTCGGTCCAAGTCCCTACCCTTCCCCTCCCTGGCTCAGGTGACATCACCTGCAGGAGACTTAATGAGTGTGGGCCTAGACCCCCCTCAGATTGCTGCCAGGTGGCCCCTCCCTAAGCCCCAAAAGATCATTGGCTGTGGATGGAAAAGCAGGGAGGAAGCTGGGAGGCAGGTGCCTGGGGTAGCGTTTGGTGTGCAGCAGCACCGCCAGCACCTGGCTCTCCAGCCCTGGCTGGTCGTTGGTCTCAGTGAGGCGCTGGGCCTTTCTGCACTCTGTGGTTGTCTGATACCTGATGGGTTGAGTGCTTTCTCTTTTTCACACACCCCCGCCCCTCTCCCCCACCAGTCTTTCTGGTCCAGTCAGTGACTTGTGAACAGCTGGCCCAGAGCTGTTGCTATGGCTTATGCCCAATTCCTGGTTGTTGGTGGGAAACGTCCCCAGCTGCTGAAATCTGAGAGAAGATGTGTTGCTACCCACTGCACGAGAACTGCCCCTTCCCACAGCAGGGGTCAGAGGGGAAGGGCTCCCCCTGGCCCTCAGCACAAACACAGCTTGGCGTGGCCCTGCCTCCGCCTCTGAGCCCTTTTCTCTGCAGGGCACAGGTCCTGCTGACCTTCCTGTCCACGATGTCCTGAGAAGCAGCTTCTCTTCAGAGCTGGCTCTCTGGGCTAGTGCTCTGAGGGAGACTCTGCTATTGGTGATTCAGCTCTAGAGGTGATTGTATGATAATTTAAAACTATGTATATTATTTAAATCAAACCCAGTGTGGGTTAAATTATAAAATTAGACTCTGGAGCGAGCAGTAAGACCCTCAGCTGCTCCACTCACGCAGGGAGCCTCGTGCATGCTGGTTGTTTAATGTGCATTAAACACTGAGATGGGACAGCCCGAGGACTTAAACACACATCCCAGGAGACCCGAGCGAGGCATGTGGAAGGACAGATCTGGCTGAGGGAAGAACTTTTGATAAAGAATTTTGTTCAGAAAGTTTAAAAAATGTATTTCCCACATTTCCTTGGCTGTGGCGCTGCCCTCTTGGTTTCTCAGAGACTCTGGGAGGGGAGCTCCTAATGAGACTGGGCAGTTGGGTGTCTGGCTTCAGATTAATCAAAGAAGCAGGAGTCAGTCAGGAGTAGGAGGAGACAGAGAAAGAAAACTGGCTGCCCTCAACTCTGAGAGGCTTTGTCATTGCAAGTGTTTGTGGCCAAGTGGGAGCTATTTGCATCTTTGTGCATACATATATGTATGTTTCTTAAATGAAGCTGCTTTCTGGTCTTTTATTTCTAAAGGTCTCTTATTCCCCACTTTCCACAGCACTGATGCTAAGCTTGGTCATGGTCTGTGACTTGAGGCCAGACTGGACTTCGCTGAGACAGAGTTTGGCTTTAGTTCAGGTCTCAAGCTGTGTTGGCTTTGGGACCAACAGAGGGCAAAACAGCCAACCCACAGGGCTGCCAGAGGCCTCTGAGCTGCGTTCCCATTCGGTGCTCTCTGGCTGTGTTCTGGGAGGGATTTCTCAAAGCTAGAGGTTATTTGGGGAAGATTGAATTTGCACCTAAGTCATGAGCATATCCTCAGCTTACTTCCTTCTGGCAAGCTCTCCAAGTTCACATACACCTGCACTCTTGCTCCAGAATCACCAGACACCAGGCCTGCTTCCTCCTTTGTGGCTCCACCTACGGGAGCAGCTGGAGTGGGGGTGCATCCGAGCTTGGACTGCTGTGCTTCCCCTGTGCCCCAGCCGCAAGGCAGCTGGTGTGGACTCCGGCTGGGCTGCAGGCAGCTCTGGGACGGCACAGGGGAGGCACTCCTTGATGGGCCACCTGGCTGGCCTCTCTGGGAACAGTCCTCTCTCATCTGGGTGGGTGGGGACAGCTGCCGACACAGGAAAGGAAGGAGATCCCCGGTGAAGCTTTGGAAATTGCTAGAGCCAACTCCAAGGAGAGAATTCACTGGGGAGGTTTTCAGAAACAGATATTGCTCTGCCTGTGCAGAAGGCCAGGTGTGTCGCCAGTGCCCATCACACAAGCCTCTCAGAGCTAAGAGCCATCAGAGGCTGCTGCTGCTGTTACGCAGGCCTCAGAGAAAGGAGTCTTATCTCTGCTCCCACTGGGCTGCAAGTGGAAGGTGGGCTGGACTCTCTGGAGCACTGAGACCTTTCTCCCCTTTTCTTGATGGACCAACAGCACTCTTTGCAGTCTCCCCACTTACCTTTCAGGTTTTCCTTCCCTGATCAGACATCCGCGTTGCCATTTGAGGAAGGAAAAGAATAAGCACCTACTACGTGTCAGGCACTGTGTTAGGCACTTTCATAGACCCTCCTTAGGAAGAGACTAAGGGACGAGGGCACCCCCTTATGAAAGGTCCCCAAGTAATTGAGGGACAATTACAAAACACTTGGAGGTGAGAAGGTCTTTCTCAAACTCTCTTCTCTGAGGCAAGATTGCCTTCAGCCTGAGGTTTATTCTCAAAAGATCTGTCCCCTACAATACCCTCCCACCTCCAAACTTCTCACTCTTCTCCTTCCACCTCTGTGATTTGCTCACTCCATAGATGGTGGGAGGAGTAACATGAGTCCTTAGAGAATTCGTGGACCAGTAGGATATGTGGTGTGTAGAACTTTGTTTTTAAAACTGAAGTAGAGAAGTCTTGCTACTTTCTGCTTGTTAAGTCTTCTTGGCTTCCATCTTAAAAGCCAGCATCTCACTATTTATTGATAGATTGAGGTGTGTGTGTGTATGTATGTGTGTGTACATTTTCAGGCGTGTCCCTGTCCTACAGCTTTTTAAAAGGAGACCCACCCATGCCTCTACTAATTTGACATCTTCTCATGCTTCGGCCATACATCGACAAAGGGTTCTCATTTTCCAATGCTGACATGTTCAGGAGGGGCTGGGTCAGATTTTGAGGGGGGCATGGGTAGGGTGCGGGAGAAGAAATTGACATTTATTTTATTATTTATTTTAAATGTTTACATCTTCTTTGTGTTATACCAAGCCTGAATAGAAACAGATAGCATTAAAACACTCAGTTCCTCTCTGCCCTCTTCTTTCTTTGTTTTTTAAAATTTCGGCTAATGATGCTTTTTTGTTTCTAAAATGATTTGTGACTTGTGCTGTATAAACTATAAAAAGGTTCTGTTTTTAAAGATGGATTGTCATTCCTCTGGGGACAGTGGTCACAGAGAAGTCTGCTTGGTGAGAGAACACAGCGCAAGACCCTGCCCTGTTCCTCCAAAAATCATTTTCTCTGTATGATTAAAAGTTTATTCCATTTATTTTAGTTTGTGGTTACTTGATGTTGAGGAAGAAAATATTTGACTTTGTGTAGACAATAGGTATCAGGGTGTTGTTTTCTGTGGTGGGAGATGTATATATAGTATTTTGGTATATAGTGGAAAATCATATACCTTGTGTATCTGTACCTGAGGTATGTCAGTGATGTGGACTGCAGTCTGCTGTAAGACTCTGGAGGCAAGCGAGTTGTACGAGATTCATATGGCTCTATGGGGAATTTAATTACCTTTCTGAGTACCATTTTTTTTTAAAGTAACAGTGAAACCGTCCCAGTGGAGAGGCTCCTGAATAGGCCTCTCAAGGCAGGACCGTGAGCACAAAAGTCTTTGTATAGTTTTGAAAATTGAGGAGTATCTCTGCTCGGAAGCATCTCTGGTGGTATTTTTTGTAGTTGTTGTTTATTTTGTAATTTTACTGTAATACAAGCCTACAGTATTTGCACTAAAGAAAGCTTGTTAGAAAAAGGTTGCTGCTATGGAAGAAAGAACATATTAAAACTTCTCCCCCCTGCACTTTTTTTCTTTTTTGGTTAGCTTTTCCACTTTCAATTGAGTAGCATTTTGTAGAATAAAATGGATTAAGATTGAAGAGCCTCTGATGGTTGGTTTGTTCCGTCTTTTTTCCCTTTCTCTCCTGTCGCTTCTCTTTTTCTCCTCTTCCTCTCCGCCTTTGGCCCTCGTGGTTAGAGTTGGTGCCTCTGGCCAGGGTGGTCAGGGGATGGCTCTCCTGGAATCTCTTTTGGGAAGACTGTGAGGTGGGCTGCTGGGAGGGGCATTAGGGCCTCCCTGCCTTCCCTTGCCATGCCTCTTTCTCTCTGACCCTTCTCCCAACTCCTCCCAATCTGTTCCCCACTTCTCACGGCCAGATTCTCAGCTAACTGCCAACTACTGCCAAGGTGTTAGCCAATAAAAACTCAACTTGCTGTGCCTTCCTGGGAGTGTTTAGTTTGAACAGGTTAACACTGGAAGCCCAGAAATCTTCTAAAAAAACCAATTAGATGTATCACTAAAGTTGCCATAGGTCCCTGGGTGGCGCAAATGGTTTGCGCTTGACTCCTAACCTAAAGGTTGGCAGTTCGCACCCACCCGGTGTTACCACTGAAGAAAGGCCTGGCAATCTGCTTCTGTAGAGATTTTAGCCAAGAAAACCCTATGGAGCAGTTCTACTCTGTAACACATGGGGCCACCATGAATTGGAATTGACTCGACGACAATGTGTTTGGTTTTTCTTTGAAAGTTGTGGTCCTGGTCAAATGAGATA